AACAATACAACGGATCGATATAAAGAGCATTGAAGTTGAAGACATAAACATCAATATAATTGGCACGGTAAGTGAGAAGAAGCTCCCTATTGATCCCAAATTTCCAACCAATAAAAGGAGATTCAATAGAACACAGAGAAAGGGGAAAATAAGTAGGCATATCTTGATTGGTTGGGTACTTGGGTTGATGTAATATTGGATGAGAGTGTCCTGACCGGGTTGTACCAAAATCCCCCGTTGATGTAATATTGAATGAGTGTCTTTGAATCCACCGAAGCCCTTCAACGTCGCTACATCCTCTGTTTTGTACATACACCCTTCTAATTTTGGCGAGTATTTCCACCAGGAACCGGCTTGCCGGGCTTCCCGGAAACCCTTTTCGGCGAGGGTATCTTCTCCATCGCCTGATTCTATTTCTCTGAATCACGATTTCTTCCTCATATGCCCCTGCCGAAGCATACTCTACCGGCTGCACCTTGTTGGTTCATTACCGCCATCCGACCGTTCTGCATGTCGCTGATGTGCAGTCGAACAATCTGAGCGTCTTTGCCAAGACAATTCTTGGTGAAATTGAAGGTTTAAATGCGGTCGTAGTTCTTGGGGTTTCGAAGGGAAAATTAGAAGATAGAACGATGGGGCAGAGCAAGGGCCGTTGAAAGGAAAAAGGAGGGATGAAACGTTGTGATTTGGGGAGAAGGAAACGGCTGGATTTGAGTCAAAGGGAGGAGGGCGTTGGTTTTCTCGCATAAGAGAAAGAAGAAGCTTTTAAGGTGCTGACGTGGATAGTTGTGCGTTGAGGAAGGCTTACGTGGATGGGGTGGAAATCTTAAAATGCTTTAATATATTTTATAGATTATAGATATAGATAGATATTGGAACCAATGAATATATCCTGTTAGGTGGTTTAGTACTGGAAAAAAAAAGAAAAAAAAAGAGACATAATGCTCTGTTCTCTCTCCTCGAAATCAACGATCGATTTCTGGAGAATCACTTCACTGGAAGTTCTATGTAGAATCCAGGAAGAACACGACACCTGCAAGGTGATCGGGCTGCGAGAATGGATCACACGCTCACTCCGTTCGTGGTAGATGGTGGTGGAATAGTCGTGAGAGTTCGATCGGGGAAGGAGACTTCAATAAAAAGCCAATTAATCGCATCTTGAATTTCTCAAAAAAAAAAAACTTTGATTTTATTAATTCTTTTGATGACATGAATGTTAACAGGACCGTTGACTTGATCAAATTAACAAAAATTTGGATGAAAAATGACGAAATCACCATTTGATATACGCTTAAAAGTTAAATATATGTTACCATGTTGTTACAAATTAAAAATTTGTAATCGTTTTACACTAAATGCAAAGGTTTAATGTCACATTTAGTCACTCAAATTACTGAAACAGGTCAAGTCACTCTCCTGTTAGTTTCTGTCCAACTCCATTAATGAAGTTGAAAGGAAACTAACGGGAGAGTGACTAAATGTGACTTGTTTCAGTAATACGAGTGACCAAAATTGATATTAAATTTTTCTAGTGACTAAACCGGAGCGTGACCCGATAATGCTAACGGCTCGCACTTTAGTGGTCCAACCGGCATCAGATCGTTTAAAAATTGTTTGTACCCTCTAGCTCCGGTATGAACAATGATATTTGTCGGTGTGGGGTTGACTCATGATCCGTTCGTCTGGTCTCGTCGGGATGGAAGGAACCTGTGAAAGAACCGGGGATGCCCCCCGGATTAAGCTCCGACGATCAAGTTAGTTTACGCTTAAGGTGAGAGTTGAGAGAATAAGGTGAAGAGATGAAGTGTAGAGAGATAGTGGAAAGTAGAAAGTGAGGAGAGAGGAGAAGTCCCTCCCTTGGTGGGCTTCAAGCCCTTATATACCTGTAGCGCGTATCGCGCGTCGCGCATCGCCGATTTTGCGCCCTACTACTTAGTCTGTGTGCGGAGTATTTAGTAACACCCCCAACAATTGCCCCCCAAGCTGGTGGTGAGTCTTAACTCATCGCTAGCTTATTACTTTTTTTTAAAATCTTCGTCGGTGATTTTGGGTGGAGCCCTATGTACCCCAGTTGCCCCCCAGCTGGTGGCGCGTTTGACTGACGCGGTGCCAGCTTCTTGCGTCTTGCCCCCCAATTGGTGTGTTTCATTAAGCCGTTGAGCGCTCTTCAATTGGAATTCTTCAAGGCACTGAGCAATTGTTTGTTGAAAATTTTTGAAGGTATTGAGCACTCTCCTATTGGAGTTCTTCACGAACACACAAGTGTGTCCTCTTTCATTGGTGCGCTTGTGATAGCCGCACGATTACGTTACGGGGTTACCGCGCACGTTTAGTGCCCTTTATTGGAGATAGAGGTAGTTGAACACTCTCATATTGTAGATATACCAATGCTCTTATCGAAGTCTTATTTGTGTGCTTTCATTCGAGTCTTACATGAATGGAGGTAGTCGAGCACTCCCATATTTGTAGATTCACCAATGCTCTTATCGAAGTCTTATTTGTGTGCTTACTATTGAGTCTTACATGAATGGAGGTAGTCGAGCGCTCCCATATTTGTAGATTCACCAATGCTCTTATCGAAGTCTTATTTGTGTGCTTACTATTGAGTCTTACATGAATGGAGGTAGTCGAGCTCTCTCATATTTGTAGATTCACCAAGGCGTTGTGCGCTCTCCTCGTCGGGGTTTATGTACCCTCAGTTTGGAGTCTTCAAGGCGTCGAGCGTTTGGTGAGGGCATGGCATTGACTAGTCGAGGCACGGGCCGTGATTATTAGCCCTCACCCATTGTAGATTCTTCATGGCGTTTCTAATCGAGGCGCGGGCCGTGATCATATGTCGCTTGGTGAGTTTCTCATCTCCCACGTTGTTGGGTACGTCTTGCACCCCATTAGCGCCATTAACGCTCAGGAAAGTAAAATATTTAAAAATTTAATAACGATAGAGAGATAAAGTACTTAGCTTTATATTGGCGCAGGGGCGGCAGGAGTAGATGAAAGGCAGGCGCTGCGCCATTGAAACACAAGGCTTGTATGTAACCTACTGGGAATGTTGCTTGTCTGGCGGAATAGTGGCGACGATACATTTTTTTTTTTTTGAAGAGTGCTGATCTGTTGAACGCCCGGGAGTTGGGCCGCGAGTTGGGCTTGTGCGCGTCGAGTGCTGGTGACGTGGGCCGGACGTGGCGGACTGGAGGTCAGGCGGAAGGTGGGCTTGTGCACGTCGAGTGCTGGTGACGTGCTAGCTTGAGGGACGCGAGTAGGGCTCTTGGCGGTGGACGAGACTTCTTCTCATCAATCAATTTTTTTTTTTTTTTTGCCTCCGCGTTCATTCTCCCTCCCGCTCGCAAATTATCACCGCGCGGAGCTTCTTCCGCGCTCAATACGAACCGCGGAGAAATGAAAAGGTGGTCGGTGCGCAGAGATTCTTTCCTCCGCTCAGTGCAAACTGCGGGGGCTCGAGGCCGGGGTGAAGACGGTTAGAGCGCGCGGGAGCGAGCGGAGAAGTGCGTCACCTTCTTCTTGGATCAGAACATATATGTTTTTCCTCTTCTGGTTTTTCGAATTCGCACATGGGGTTTTCGGATCTGGAACTTTCAGCAGCTAAGACGACTTTTAATGCTTCCCAACTAAAACGAAATGCATACTTGGTGTTATGATGGATGAAGCCCTCGTTGACTCCATTCTCATCAGAGCTTCGTCGCCGTACGTGGCTTCGGCTGGTGAGTTTGTCGGCATCTGGGAAGGTTAAATCTCCCGTTCAACCTCTTCTTCTTTTCCACACCGTTTCCTTCGGTGAACGATTTGGTTTCCATAAAGATCTTTGACTTCCTCTTTTTGTACAGTTTATTTCCTGGTGAAAGTAGATCTGAGAACTCCCCGTTTTCCCAAAGCTCCTCAAATCTCGATTGTAGCTGAGGAACCAGTCATCGGCCGACGATTTTGTTGCCGTCGTCGGAGTGGTGAAGACCGCCGACCACCCGCCTAATCCGTCGGGTACAACCCAATTCAGCTGACCAATGATTTCAGTACGGATAGAGGAAGAATCCATGGCGGAGAGCATGAAAACGGAGACGCCAAGAATGCAGACGAGGGTGATGGAGAGGATCCATTTTCTTTTACTCGGCTGGCCTTCAAAGAATTTGGCAGCTGCTGTGGCGCTTAGTTGGTGGAGAAGATTTCGAGCTCTTCCCAAAAACAATCAGATCTGGATTTTTTTTCTTGCAGCTACTGTCGGATAGTGTTAAGAGGCGGCCAATTTCCATTCTCCCTTCAAAATCGAACGAACAGATGTCGGAATCAAGCCCCACGGTGGGCGCCAATTGTTTGTACCCTCTAGCTCCGGTATGAACAATGATATTTGTCGGTGTGGGGTTGACTCATGATCCGTTCGTCTGGTCCCGTCGGGAGGGAAGGAACCTGTGAAAGAACCGGGGATGCCTCCCGGATTAAGCTCCGACGATCAAGTTAGTTTACGCTTAAGGTGAGAGTTGAAAGAATAAGGTGGAGAGATGAAGTGTAGAGAGATAGTGGAAAGTAAAAAGTGAGGAGAGAGAAGAAGTCCCTCCCTTGGGGGGCTTCAAGCCCTTATATACCTGTAGCGCGTATCGCGCGTCGCGCATCGCCGATTTTGCGCCCTACTACTTAGTCTGTGTGCGGAGTATTTAGTAACACCCCAACAAAAACCTTTAGAGAACCGGTACCTAATAAACGTTATCGGTATAAATAGTGGACATTTCTTAATCAGAGCTCGTCTCTTTCCTTCGAAATTGTGAAATGGAAACAAGGATTCAGTTTGAGAGCCCGACGTATTTGGTTTATTTTAATTTTCTGAAATTTATTTAATTAAATTAATGACAAAAACCGAACGAGTGGCTCGATCGGTTAACCGCCTCGGCCGCTCATCAACCGCTACATAAAACCGAAACAGCTTTTACACTGTTACGAGCCGGTTTTGTGACCGGATGTCGGTTTTACCGGTCGGGCCGAGCGGCTCGGCTCTCACAAAATCATAAAGCAGGAGAAAACCGGTATTTATTTCAACCCGGAAAAGAAAAGAACAAAGCTGAACACTAATTCTGTTGTTTTATGGCTACAGGATATTGAGACCAGCAATGACCATCTACCACCTGAAACCCACTCCCTTCCAGCCTTACAGCCCAAGATGGCTAGAGAAAGTTCAAAATTTATGTGCCACCTGTTTGCCGGAAGAGAACGCCATCATCAATCTTCAAGGCAGTTCTGACATGGCCTCATATTTGGCAATTTGATTGGTCTGGTCTTCCCCGTTTCTGATTATCAAAGTAACCGCAGCCAGAAGAGTAGATACATTCCCAAGTATTTTTACACAGGGAAAAGATCACTTGTCTCGAAGCCAGTTGATATCTGTTACATTTAAATAACGGTTACAAAGTTAAGCTTTGTTCTTCAGGCAAGATAGCTGAATACACACTATTATCCAGCAATCATAATCCTAACCTCCTAATCTAAAACTATAAAGTGATGTTTTGTCCCAAACCCTGACGAAGTTATTAGATATGCCATGTCAATAAAATTGTGCTGCAAGTTGGGCAACGGAACAGATGAGAAGATATGGAGACGAACATACAACAGACTTGTAGATTAGGTTGAGGACACCTTATAATGAAAGACTGACCTGTTTGGAAATAGTTGTGTATAACATCACTTTCCCTGGATAATTCTGTAGTTGAGGATCAGATCCTCAGGCTTCTTCCATATGTAAGCTCGCACTGTGGCTAAACTCATTTCTGGGGACAGGACCTAGGAAAAATGCCAAAACATCAGAGCCAGTAACAGAGAAAGGTTTGATTCTACCACCATAAAAGATGGACTATGGATTGCATAGAAGGTTTAATGATATGATTATTGCACTCTACTGCCAGCAAGGAGGGATAGAAAAAACAGAGTGCCAATGATCTTTGAAATAACAGCCAGATAAGCATTTGAAATACTCAAATATAACTGCCTAGTCCCGCTATCTCTTTGTTATTACTGGCTGTTAACAATCTAATCTATCAGATTTAATAAAACGCTATAATCTATCAGGACTATCATTGACTGAAAACAAATACAGTCCATTAAACATCAGAAAGTTTCCAAAAAAGTTCCCGTCAATTCAAGGGGATATTCACTGTTTTCTTCATTCATGCTCCCTCTAAAAGGGGAGGCGAAGATCAAGTAGTAGGAATAGCTTCTCGTTTTATGCTAGAACATGATAACACTATTTTAACTAAACACAATGGGAAGAGTATTTATCCAGATACCTGGTTATTGCATAATATCTCTATAGTATTCCTGGACTTCACCCAAGGTTTTGGTCCAGAGCGGAAAGATCCATCCCCAAGTGCTGAATGTTGCAATGGTCCTCCACCAAGTCCGGGAGCAAACGTTCCCTCGGGATTCAAATTGTCAAGTGGTTTGTCTAGAACCATCTTCTCTAGCACATAATTGACAACCTACAGAGAAGAATCAGTTTAATCGAGTAAGTTTGGCTAATCTGTATCAGATCACACAAAGTAAATCACCACAACATAACCTGACATGACATAAGCATTTGGGGAGGGGTCAATTAGAGCCCTGAACCAAACATGTTACTATAGCATTTCCATCCATACCCATTTATATTAAGCTCTGAATCTTAGACAGAATGACGGAGAATTCTCCAGAATTTAACTTATAGTTGAAGAAGGTCTGAACAAAATAGTGAGCTCTTAAAACTCAACCAAGTTTTGAGAACTATGGACAACAAACTAACCATTTACTACAGTTAATACAGAAACAATTCTGACATATGGATCGGCATAATATGGATAGACAATTCAATGTGCTAGCTAAGGCTAGAAGCAGAAAGCCTACAATACTAAAACTAATTCAAGCAATTAAGTGTCTCCACAATGTGCGGTCGTTTTTTTATTTTTTATATAAGGGTGATATAGGTTTACATTTTTTCGTTAGGTACTACTTAAGGGATTCGAACCTGGGACTTCCAAATTCAAGGCTAGTGGCATTACCACTTGACCACGCCCTTGTTCGTCTCCACAATGTGGGGTCTTAACAGGGGAAAAGAATGGTCTCTGCTCTCAGCTCCTAAAACCAAACACTTGCCGAAAGCCAACCATTATAATGCAAGCTAGTAACAGCTATCATGAAATGTGCTCAATAAGAAGAGACATGGCAAGTTATGCACATTCAACTAGTCCAAGACTACGCCTCAGTCAAATAGTGGCTTATTTCATTACTTGAGATCTGTTTCCAGATTTAAATGAATATATCCAAGTATGCAGCAAGGGAAATAGTCGGCCTGTTCCTAGTAACACACTATTCAAAAAGACACACAATGAAACTTTTTGCTAAACATACTTTATGGATTCTCAGTATGCGTGGAGCACTAAGTTTGCCTTGTGTGAGGATCTGGAAAGAATTGCCTTCACTGGGATGCAGATAAAAGCTACACCTGCAGATATTTCAACATCTTAAAGTCAGTGATTGCCTTCACTAAGTTTAACTACATGCTGAAAATGTAAAGAGGAACGAAAAGGACAGCTTCCCCTTTTAAAGATTATATTTATGTGTATGAAACTAAAACTACTCCTGTAACTGCAGTATTTCCAGGGATGGGGAGAAACATTACTTGGAATTCTCCCTAGGAGGTAAGCGATTATGCAGCACGCAGTCTAGGCACCACCAAGGTAAATCCTTTTCATCTTCTGTTCCGTCCAAATCAGTGATTTTCTTTCTCCATGGACCCCCTTGAGAGCCCTCGGTTATAATTGAAGGGGGAGAAGCTGTGGAAAACTCAAATGGAGGATATATGATGGAGTCATTCTCAGCACTGCCATCTACCTCAACTCTGGAATTGGCAAGGCTTCTAGAAGTGATATCCTTGCCAGGAAGAACCTCGCCATTAGAAGAAGCTTGAGATCCAACTCTTTGCTTTTTTTTGGATAACCAATGAGACAACAGTCCTTTAAGGGTTTCACGGGCCAGATTAACCTGAAGTCAAGATCAATTTCATGAATGACTGTGATTCTGGAACTCCCAGAGACAAGAAGCCAATATTTGGGGTTCGCAACAAATCATTTAATCAAAACACATCAATGAGGGGCACATGCTTCAATGCTTGTGAGAACAAATTACAAAGTAGGACCTCAGAAATTGATATATACTCTCAAGTTAACAGAGAACGTTTCAGATTAACCACCCCCCATCCAACCACAAAAAAAGGCCATTAAACGTCTCAACCAAATCAAAGCATTTTCTCAGCACATCTATCCACAAAATCAGAAACTAAACCAATTCTGAGAAGTAGGCAACACATCAAGTGTTTTGTTCAATATCCATGAATTATGAAAGAAAGAAACCAAACGTTTTAAATTAATTCACCTTATCATCTTCAGCTTTCCCGGGAATGCTGAGGTCTGCTGAATACATCTCAGCTGAAAAGCATTGTGGAGTGTCCAGATGCACTGACAAGCATCCAAGCCTCGTATCCACAGTGAACCATGAAGGAATGCTTACCTATAAAAAAGTAAGGAACAGTCAGTTCCACAACACTTATCAATTTAAGATACCAAGGAGCTTAAACGCAAGAGATGCACATCTAAAATATCCATAGTACTTATACCATCTCAAATAATTGCTCTTTCTTCTCGTCGAACGGCACCTAGAGAACACACAACTTAAAAGTAAGAACATGTTACACAAAACTTAGAAGTAAGACCATTTGGAAAAGGGATATTGACCTTCCCATAGTCCTCAACTATCACGCCCTTTGTGATCTCCCATAGCTTAACCGAACCAGCAGTGTCCTATCCAACATGAATGGCATAGAATGTCTCAGCAAACACTCGCTGATATACTGAAAGGTTCCTGTTCCATAACAGAAGCTATATACAGATAAAACTCCAGCGGTTACCTTGGTCAATAGATGTCTTTTATTATTTAAAATCTCATGCTGCACTATCGCAGGAGTTCCTGGAATCGTCAGGGTGGGTTCCCTATGAACAGGCACCTACAGCAGAAAAGAAAACAAGGCTAAGTCTAATCAAACTAGTTTCCAGTCCCCCGAGTGAATTATTTGGAGAAAATTAAAGGACCATAGGGACAAATTGGGCATGAATGCACAGAAGAAACAGGTGAGTGAAAAACCAATGAAAAGTTAATGAAACACAATTATATTTAAAATTAAAAAAAAAAACACAGCTCAATCAAACATTGGCAAGCAGAACCGCATGATACAGCACTTTGCAAGTAAATTAATTGAAAACATACAGACTATATGAACATTTGTTTGGAGAACAACCTATGTCAGGAATGCTTTTATAAACACTTACCGGTGTAGACCCTTCAAGAGAAACCCTTGCCCTAGAAAATGACAAGTTCCCAGCCAAGAATGAACCGCCTTTCTGAAAAACCTTTTGGGGATTTCGTCCATCTGCCGACCACCTATCAACTGAAGAGTCGGTAGTTGCAGCCCATATACTGTCGTCATGTAGAGCCAATTGTACGATGGGGTGCTCCTTTGAACAGAGCAGAACACTTTCCCTAGTCGCCAAGTCTGTTAAGTACAACTGAAGGATATACAGTTGGAATGCCAATTTTGAGATCTAAGAGTGGGAATGCTTTAAGTTAGTAAAGGGCTTTGCGAAATTCACTCACAGAAAGATCTCGCCCGCCGCTATAAACATGACTAAATGTAGGGGTGCTGGCCAGGGCCCAAACAGAATCAGTATGCACCGCATAAGAATGTACACATCTTTGTTGACCGAGATCCCATAGTCTAAAGAACCATAAGCAATTCAATGTAAGATCTGGGTTGATGAGCAATGTATAACACTAATAAAAAGGTAGCCAACTTCACCTGATCATTGAATCAGAAGACCCTGATAAGCAAAACCTAGATGAAGGAAATATCAAAGTCATGTAAAATTGAAGAGAAATAAAAAAAAAAAAAAAAACAGATCGAAGCAAGCAATGAGATCATTAATCTCAAAGTTCAAATGAAAATTTGTCATCACAGCATAATAAACAGAGCTAAAAGTCACAAAACATAACAGGTGTGTATGAAGCTATAACAATATACGCCTCATGGGGAACAACAAAGAAGTTGCAACTTAACAGATCTAGAACAATAGCACCACAAGATTAAAACAAACATTCGTCATAGACACTGGAAAGTTACACTGAAGAATGAACACTATTAGCAACTTCATTAATTCCAGGCCGCTCTGAGGGTCTTATATAATCTTACAGTAGATGTCACAAGAAAGTACCTAATCATTCTTAACAAAACGAACCAAGTAAAATAGATCATTAACCAACCTGCCAGTAGAATCTAGAAGCAAAGCTCTAATGTTATCAGTATGACCTCTTAGCTTCATTGTCTTTGAACCACTCCTTGGGTCCCAAACACGCACAACCTGAAGGAACAAAGTCAGACCTAATTGCTTAGAAAAACCAAGAACTGGCATTGTGGTGCCAGGATCTATAAGATCAGTTAGTACCAAACAACTTTCCACCAGAATAGAGCAAGGTAAGCATGCAGCAGGACTATACCTTCTCTGTTCCACCCGATACAAGAACTGATCCAGTATCATTCATTGCCAATGCATATACCGACTCCTTATGGCCTTTTGCAACAGTTGGCGCATACCCATGGGACTGAGTGTTGTGCGAAGTAATACTGTTGCTTGAGCTAATGGGCCGTAAACTTGTCATAGGCAACGAATTACCAGAGCCACCTACCCCATTTGAGCCCTCATCTTCAGTTGCGTCACTTGACTTTGAAACTGGAGTGAGTGCAGCTTCAATATCCCATATGAAAACCTCTCCACCAAGGCCACAGGAAGCAATAACATTGCTCTAAAATGCATGACACTAAGAGAAAATCAACAAATGCATTTTATAACGTACAAAAAACTACAATCAATTAATCACGTCCACAAAGTTTCAAACATAAATTACATTTCTTTCTGCTGCAGCAAGGCGTGTAACATAGTCAGAGTGCTGTCGGAGAGTTCTTGTACAAGTTCCTTTGGACAAGCTATCCCAAGTCTAGCACGTAACAGGGGGAAAAAAGAGGTAAGAAAAACTAACCTGATGAACCAACAATCAGCCAAGAAGAGAAGAAAAAGATTAGTGTAAGAACACCAACAAATTGTAAGGAAAACCTTAAGAGTAGTATCTGAAGAACATGAGACAAGGGTATTTTCCCCTGCAAGGACAGCATCATTCACCTGCATGGAAAGAAATGGTGCTTTGTGAACTGCATCTAAAAAAATAACCCAGTTTATAGTAGTACTATACAAGCATAGCCAGGATTATATAAACTTCAGAGAGGCAAATTATCATTTCCACAAAGATTAAATGACTAAAAAAGCACTCATCAGTTCCCAATTCTTTGAAAGAAGTAACAGCAAAGAAACAACATGCTCACTTATCAAAATTCAGTACTTTTAGAGAAAATTTTAAGTCAAGCTATCAGCTGAAGGCTACAAGAGGTAAGACTAATTGCAACCAAAACCAATAGAGGAAAACAGCAATCTGATCAGCAGCACGAATGCCATAAGATAATAACAGTGAAGTGAAAAAGGAAAAAGAATATACCCAATCAACATGTGACTCAAATGTAGCAGAACAAGTAGCAGAATCTTCAGACACTGCCCACCTCTTCAATGTGCCATCACGACTCCCAGTGAAAAGGTAATCTTTCTCGGAAGATGATGACTTTAGCACAGTCACACAATTTACACCAGCACAATGCTGCAATCATACATAACCAAAACTAAGCACTGTAAGAACGAAACATCGAATGCAATTGGCTAACCTCAGTGGGGTACTTAATCAGTGAAAAAACTAAAATTCAAAGCTACCTTACCTTGGTATCATCTGCATCATTCAGCACATATGTAAGCCTCTTCTCTTTACGCGGACGAACAGAACTATTTGTGTTCCCTGCACTACCCACTCGGTGCATTGCGGAACTCCTTGAATAAACAAAAACAGCCAATCAGCAAGAGAGAAATTAATGTCCTTTTCTGTCTACTATAAAGGGCTGACTATTACATGTGCGAATGAACATTGTTCTCGTAATAACAGAACTTCTGATCAGTCATTCTACACAAGAGTTGTACACATCTTAAAACAGGTTAAAAATTCGTCCTAATGAAATTCAAAGGGTTAGTTGCAGGTCACACCACGTTAATGGTGGCAAATCAGAACAGATTTAATCTCGACAATAGTCCAAGAGTTACAACATGTAACGGGTTGATGCTTAACAAGCCCTCATACTGTAGCAAAGAAGGAAGCATCCAGTCAAACTGAGATAATCCACAAAACATCCAACCAGTTAATCATTCGAATTGTGGCGGCACCATGGGTACAAGTTGTCACCCATCTCAGGAATAGGCTTCAGAACCCAGCAGCGCTCATAATACTGCAAAAGTTGCTTACTTCCCTACTTATTACTTCTAAATTTTCGCAGTCATTGCAACTCAATGGTATAAAATACCTTTCAAACACCAAAAACTCCACCAAACAGAATTATTAAAGCCAAACCAAAAGGAAATAAGAAAATCAACTCACGCCACAAGCATCAGATTTCATGTAGTTCCCACGAAAGAGACAACCAACGCACCAAACACAAACTAAATATCCACACACCAATCGCCTTCAAGCTTCAGCTAACTAACTAAGAATCTAAGTCCACCATTCACCTCTTCTTCAGCGAAAGCCTTTCCACCCATCCACCCTCACTACTTCCCCAACAAACTTAAAAGTTCAATACTACTAACAACTCTCAACATCAGCCCGTCTCAATTCACAACCAACGGGGGGAAAAACAACTCAACATTCGGAGAATTTACGTTGTTTGCATGCGATCCAATCCCTAACTAAAATAACGGTGAAAGAGACGCATCAAAACACTAGTGCCAATGCGCGGATTAGCCGCAATCGGACTTTGAACTCCCCCAAGTGTCCCAGCGAGACCCAGAAAGCTAATAGAGAGAGAGAGACGAACTAACCGGTGAGCAGCGGGATTTGCAAACTACGACAAAGGACTCAGAAGAGCTCTTCAGATGTCTCCGATTGCCGCGCGATTGCAGGAAGTCGGACACAGTGTGGAATTTAACATTAACAAAAATACAAAAACCCTAGCGATTGCAGATTGGAGAGCTGCTTCCGATGAAGATGATGGTGAAAATCGACGGCGATGGCGAAGAAGAAAAAGATTGGTACTGTAGAGGTGTTTCTATGAGACTGTTTGCTCCCGTCGTCTTCTTCTTATGTTCTTCTACACACAGAGAGCCGGATGTAGAGAAAGGGAGAAAGAGAGAGATTTGAGAAAGAAAAGAGAAAATACGAAAAAGGATTCTTTTGAGACGGGGAACGGGAAAGTGGAAGTCAAAGGTAATTGGGAGACAGAGAGAGAAGCGGAGCTAACTCTTTTGTTTGGATAATTAATCACGATTAGCGTTGCTGATGCTGGCAAGTGGTAATTATATGAAACCTTTTTTTAGCGTTGCTGCCTGGTGCATTGGACTTTAAACTGTGGTGGCTATACAGTTCGAGCCGATTGTTAAATTGGTTCAGAATGACTCGATTTCGGTGAGATATTTTTGGAAATATAGAGATAAAAAAAGAGAGTTACTAATTAACGCTCTAACTTTTTTAAATTTATCACCCTAATTTAGATAATTTGACGTTTTTGCCCTCAAAATATTCCCAACTCTAACCAAATCTCACCCTGAGATTTTTCCTGTCTCCGTCGTTTGTCTTGAGAGTCGCCGTCGCCGCCGCAACTGCCTTCTCTATCAATCAAGGTTTAACCCAACAGTAGCAGAATCCTCGGCATCGTCGACAAGCGGAGCAGAGCAAGGGTTAGGGCGATGGAGGCAGAGCAAGGGCAAGGGTCGTCGATGGCATAGGAGGTGGGCAGCGTCGAATCCCTTCTTCATCCTCGAGTTCGCGCCGCCGCCAGTGTGATGGCAGAGGAGGTGTGCGTCGTCGAATCCATTCTTCTTCCTCGTGTTCCCGGCGACGGCGGGGCCGGCGGAGATTCTTTTGGCGGCAGTGGGAGGACAATGGCCGGCGGGGATTCTTTTCTTCTTCGACGGGCGGAGCTGATCAAGGGGAATGTGGCGGTGGGGCAAAATTAGGGACTGGATAGTGTCCGGCGGGATTCTTTCTTTCTTTTGTTCTTCGAGGGGCGGAGCAGATCACGGGAGCTAGGGCGATGGGGCAAATTTAGGGATTGGGGATAGTATGGTCTGTTTGGTAAGGTTAGGGCGTTAAATTTTAAAAAGTTAGGGCGTTAAATAGGATTTCAGTAAAAAAAGGATTGAATACAGTTCGGTCCCAGAGAAGCAGAGCAGCCCCCACCCCCCGAACCAGAGAAGCAGAGCAGCCGCCGCAAGCGCTGCCGCCCACTGAGGCGCCGACGCCGTAGAGTCAGGCGCCGACGCCGTAGAGTCAGGCGCCGCCGCTGCCGAGTGGAGCGCCGCCGCTGGAGAGTGAAGCACCGCCGCTGCCGAGTGAAGCGTCGCCGCTGCTGACAGAAGCGCCACCACCCGAGATGTCCTCCGACGAAGAACCAGTCGCCGCCGAGAGAGGCCGGCGAGGTCGTGGCGGCCGTTTGCGCGGTGAGACTCTCGTCGGCGGCTTGATTTTTTTTTAATGTTTTGTGTTGTTTTTAATGTTTTGTTGCTTTGTTTTTGCAGTTCCTAGGCTTATGGATCCTTATTCGATGAGATTACCGTCGACGACAATTGATCCAGGTCCGGTCGATCTGACACTTCTTTGGGGACATGGCCAACATCGTATCGACTCTGTTTGGACAAACGAGGTAAGTATTTGATAATTATTCATGTAAAGTTAATTAGCTAATTAGATTATTTTAGTTGGTGAACTGAACTGTACTGTTAGAATAGGATTACGTATCAAATTTTTTGAAATTAGTATAATTTGATATTAGATTAGACAGATTAGAATTTATTAGGTGAAATTAGAATTATTACGAATGAAAATGAATTAATATAAGTTTTGTGCACTATAGGCTGGTGATCGATCTTACCATGTTCGAGGTACGACCATTTTAGTACCTTACCATGAGCTTTATCGGCCATATCTCGAAGTGGCAGGCTTGTTAAGTGTCGTGCCCCTAGTCCCTATGAACCCCGATGCGAGTTTGATTACTGCGCTCGTAGAGCGGTGGCGACCCGAGACGTCGAACTTCCATCTACCGTGTGGTGAGATCACGATCACGTTAGAGGACGTTGTTACACTGTCCGGTCTGGCGATCGACGGTGATGTCGTCGTAGTTGATATACCGGATGAGGAGTGGTCGACGATCAGTTTGAGACTGTTATGACGGGTTCCGGCTGATCTTGTAGGCGGTGTCGCTATTGTTAGGATTGTTTGGCTGAGGGTTGAATTCAGTCATCTGCTGGAAAATGCATCACAGGAGGTTATAGAGCAGTTTGCACGAGCTTATGCTCTATCTCTGATTGGAGGTGTACTTTTCTCGGATCGGTCTGGAGCTACGGTGCACCTACAGTACCTACTTCTGATTGAGGATTGGCAGAGAGCTGGACGGTTCGCCTGGGGAGCTGCTGTTTTATCCTACCTGTACCGTGAGATGGGTAGGTCGACTTTGCACATTACGCATACCGGCACTTCTCTAAGCGGTGACCTTGGTGGATGGGTCGCCCTACTGCAGTTCTGGGCGTGGGAGCGATTCCCACATCTGGCACCTTGAGATTCAGAGACGAGGGCACAGGCCACCGAGGATGCATCCCCACGTGGTCTTCGATGGCTTTCGGCCAACAGTCGTCAGTATGGTGACCAGCTATTCCAGTACAGGCTGTGGTTTGACGCGATGGACACCGTGGTGGTTAGTATATAACATTTCATTTTATAGAATAGTTTTCATTTGTTTTATTTTTTTAGATTTAGGGATAATAACGTTAATTTTTTTTTATGTAGTGGCAACCTTACCTTGAGAGAGCACTTCATCTCAGAGGTAGTGTGATACAGTCTGAGACATTTCGAGCAGTAGTGCCACTTATCTGCTTTTCATCGATGATGTGGCATCATCCAGACCGCGTGCTCCGGCAGTTTGGCATGAGGCAGCATGAGCCTCATCCTGAGGCTGAGGTTAGGTTTTTTCTTCGCCAGGCTACTCGTGGGCCATCTCATGGGCAGCAGTTGGTACACGCCTCTAGAGAGTCGCTTGCTTTTTGGAACCGTCGACACGAGTTTGTAGCGACGGCTCCATACACTGATGAACGTTCCGGCACACGGAGAGGAGCTGCAGCGGAGGCATTGGTTAGTTATTTGATTTGTTTGCTTAATTTGTTGTTAACTGTGTGAAATATCTGACATTTTGTTGGTGTTTTTTAGTACAACACTATCGAGCATGCTGAGGTGACTTTGCGTGATGGTGTACGGGCTGGAGGGCTGACCCCCGACCAGTGTGAGGACATGACCAACCTTATGGCATTCGGGGTTGCTACTCTAGGGTTTGAGCAGCATAGATACCCTGATCTCACAGTACCTGTACAGCCCCATTATGAGGAGCCCGTCATGACTGCCTGGCCAGAGCGTACTGATTCGACACCGGGCTCGGTCGTCCCAGAGCCACAGTTCAGACAGGAGCATAGGTCACGTAGACAGCGACGTGAGCATCGTGATGTACCTAACCCATTCCGGGTTTCAGATCGACAGCGAGCACAGCCCATCCGGCCTACATCGAGGAGCTTCCAGTTTAATCTGCTTCGGTCGCAGTTTCAGTCAGATCCTTCATCGAGCTTTCAGCCGCCGCGACGGCAGCAGTTTCAGTCAGATCCGTCTTCGAGCTTTCAGCCGCCGCGACGGCAGCAGTTTCAGTCAGATCCGTCTTCGAGCTTCTATCAGCCAGAGGATAGCTTCCATACACCGCAACATGCTACGATGGGAAACATGGCCTCAGGTGGTGATACTAGAGCAGCTTCGTCTCCCGATATGTGGGGCAATCTAGATGAGCATGAGACATTTCGGGAGACGATGTGGAATTATGAGCAGCATGTTCAGTCTTAGCAGCATGGTGGCGGTCAACCTGAGGAGCATTTTCAGTCTCAGCAGGATGATATGTTCGGTACACAGGATCATGATGGTGGTGTTGAGGAAGATGAGCCCCAGGAGTATGATGGTAGACCTCTACGTAACAGGGTGCCTACGAGGTGTGGTACTGGCGGCCATCTAGCGGTGGAGCATGATGGTGGTCGTGGTGGTCGTGGTGAACGTTCCTCATGAACCATGACCAACTCTCAGTATTCTCGCTCTCCACTATGGCAAATGCAATTGGAAAAATCTTCTTCCGGCCATCAATTGAGCTTGCCATGAGTAGCACTCCTTTATACTTTCCAGTAAGAAATGTTCCATCAACAACCATGACGCCTGGACAATTCTTGAATCCATCTATACAAGGTCCATAAGCCCAAAATACTCGCTGAAATATTGAATGACCTGGTTGAGTCGAAGGAACTCTTACCCAATCAATCACCGATGTTGGCATTTTTCTCTTGACCACCCGCAAGAATGTTTGCAAAAAATCGTAGGATTCTTCCCAATTTCAATGCAACTTCTCCAATGCTCTTTGTTTCCCATACCAAGCCTTCTTGTAAGTAACTTGCATATTAAACTTATCTTTCAACTCGGCCTGAACAGTTAGAACACTCAGATTTGGTTAGGCACGTACCAAATGTTTGACGGCCTCAGATATCATGTCGACTTCAAGATGGCGATGATCCGTCGGTTGAGTCATACTGCTACAAGAATGCACCAACTCAGCCTTTCTCACAGTCCATTCGCCTCCAACATCTCGACATCCAAACCACGCCATCCAAGGACAATTGTCATCCTTGTGCCTCAAGCATCTGACCTTCCAGATTGAAGGTGACGACTCCACCACGCCATATTGAAAGTTGCGTTGTAGTGCGTGGTGTTTAATCGCCATCTATGTAGCTTGTTTCGAGTGAAATATCTGCCCCTTGTAGAATTCTCCTTCAAAACTATCAACAATAGGCATTGGAATTACGCCATATGAATCAGCAAGTGATAATTCTTAGTCCTCTTCATTACCCTGCAAGTAAAAATATGGAGGATAATTAAGCTGCTCTCCTTCCCCCTCTTCCTCCTCCTCCTCCTCCTCCTCCTCATCTTCCTCCTCTCCGTCATCATAGTCATGATCGGATGGCACGCTCCATGTATCATCTTCTTCCTCTCCACCCTGATTCTCACTGAGCTCAACATGTATCTCAGCACCCAAACAATAAGGATTTTGTGCCATAAAATTCCAAAGCACATTCAAGCTATCATCATCCACAATAGGTATCGCATAATGAAATAAAACACCATTCTGCCATTCTGGAAGACGGTAAGTGAAACCTGTGATCACATCACTATCTTGTACTGCTTCGTCTCTGCGCCGTATTCTCGGAATTAGATTCTCACAAAGTTTGTGATATGTGACCCCTAGATGGAACCGTCAACTGAAAACTACTACCACCAACGAATTTGACGCCCAAATTATCTTCTACTTTCTCCGATTTCCACCGAACGACTAGTTCAAATCTTCTAAAATCACTACAAAAAAACAAACTCACTAATTAAAACTAAACACAATCATAATAGCATTTGAATAATATAATTACAAAAATAAATGTGTCTCTTACCTATTAGCCATTTTTGCAGCAGCAACCAGAGCTCTCTCCTCTATTTTGGACGATTTTTTTGTGGTGTGAATCTGAAACGAAATTGGCTGGGTTTTTTATAAGGTGGGTGGCCAGCAATAAGCCAGCGGTGCCACCTTAGTCTCAGGCGCCAACGCCTGGGATGATTTCCCACCTACTCGCCTAGGTCTCAGGCGTTGCCGCCTGAGTCTTGGGCGCCGCCGCTGTCAAATCAATAAAACGGTCAAAAAACCCAGCTAAAGCGGCAGCGCCTGAGTCTCAGGTGGTCTCACCGATTCTTTTCTCCAAAACACAATATCTGTGTCAATACTTTTTAATCCGCCATATTTGTGGTAAATTAAAAAAAAACAATATTTGTGTCATTCTTTCATAGAATATTCAGCCGTATATATCTCATTTTTTTGGAATATAGACAACCTGCATAATTTGTAGAAAAACTAAATCTCAAAATCTCATTCAACATCCACACCACAAAACATCAAATTAATTAAATGTCAGAAAACAAAAATCAATAGTACAATACTCACCCAGCTGTTGTTCCCCTCCATCTAACTGATTTCGGCGGCTGCTACTTGCTGGCCGTCGGGAAGGGTCGGTTCTGGACTTTTGTTCCAGAGGGTAGAGGCGACGGGAGGTGTGGCGTAAGGAGTAGGACTGGTAACTGGTTTAACAGATAATCGGTGGTTTTTGGTTAAACTGTTAACCAACTGTATCGAAAAGCGAGTCAGTATCCATCACCCTCAAGTTGCTGCAAACAACTTTGAGGTAAATTCTTCTGTTATCCAGATGCTGAGGACTTTGTGGTGTTCAATGGCGGGAAGGTGAATGCCCATGAGAGCACCTCAATCGATTCCACGAGCTGATCAACAAGATCAAAATCAAATGGTGTACCTCTAGAAGCTTTGCGGTTTTGCTACTTCCGATTCTCTCTAGACGGAAGGGGTAAGGCGTGGTTGGATAACCGTGCACCAGGGTCGATCACATTGTGGGCCGATTCGGTGAACAAATTCTTGAAACTCTACCATCCCTCATCCGGATCTGCAAGAGATTACCCACTTTGCGCAAAAGGAGGACGAGACCCTCAGAGATGCACAAGAGTGATATTAAGGTCAAATTCTGCATAACCCCAAGGGGGTTTTCTTAACATTAGTCTCCTTCTCATCGACCCTGTCATCTTCTTCCATGAGGATCTCCAGCTTTCCTTTGAGATGCTCCATTGAAATCACCTTCTTCAATATTGGCACTAACACTTGTGCTCCTCCAAAATGTTCTATCAAATTTCTGAATAGGGATGGATAGACTGCTTTCTTCTTTTCTTCTTCCTTTTAATGCTTGGGAACCTCTTGGCTGTTCCCATCCTAGTCCAGATGACCTTAACTTCCTCCCTATTTGGATTGTCTTTTGTATAGATTGGGAGGTTGTTTTTAGACTTTTGAGGTTGGCCAATGATTAGGAATGCAAGTTGTCTTTCGATATTATTGTAGCTCGTTTGTAATCCTATCACTGTTACCTCTAGCTTCTCGAATATGGCGGGTTGCAAATTGGAGATACCTTCTCCTTGCCCCTTGTATTTAGGTTTATTACCAAATCCATGTGATTTGGTTTCTTTTGCCATTGTGCTTCAAGAACATAGGGTGCATTGATCAAGTTGATGTTGGCGCAATCATCTGGCTTCTTCCCTCCTCGAGCAGGCTATTGGCAATATGGTATGCGAGTTTGGTTGAATTTTTTATAAGGAGCATAGATATCTTATTGGGTCTTGATTGATAGCCTTGATTTGTATAATTGACATCAATATGTCCTTGCCCTTCATGACTATAGCATTTGAATCCTTCGTGACCTTCTTCTCCACATGCTTCACAACCGAATAAGGATGCCACCGATCCATTCTTTGACTCCATTGAAGTCTTCCATAGTTATTGGGTTAGGTCTTTCATGTATGCGCAGAGGGTGGCCACACCATCCTCCCTTCCTTGGGCATCTTTCAATGATTTGATCGTTGATGTACGCTTGAACCAGTTCTTTGGCTTCTTTGCTAGTGTGGCAAAATGCTCTTGGCATTGCAGTCGTCAAGTCGCGTAATTGTTGTGAAATCTCCATAAGCCATTGTCATAGTTTTTTGTTTTTTTGTTTTGTTTCATAAGCAAATTAAATTCCTACAATTAAATCGCCATTGTCATTGATTGTTCCTCCCATAAAAGCCCGCCAAAGACGAGTGGGTTCCTTTCTGCTCCTTCCATTTTTTTTACTGTTAAAACAGTTGGGAAAAAGTAAAACGGATAAGGCGCAAAAAGGAAGAACAAATAATCCCCTACGACCGTGTTCACTCAGTAATATAATCCTCCTCCAACCATCACGTTCCACGTGACCCAAGTATTTTCAAATCAAGCACATGGAAACTGATCCGATATAATCGACGGTCAGGAGAACTCAAACAAAAACACAGTCTGCGCACCTGAATTTCCCCGCTCGCCACCTTGGATTCCACTTTGATTCCCTCCCGCTCCTCCCGCTCCCACCATCAGATAAATAAAAGTTGATTTTTATTTTATGTTTTGACTGTTCATAATTTCATGGATCTGGATCCTGCACCAACCACTTGGAAAAACCAGAATTCAGCATTTCCTTATCCCTAAGCATTCTGCTAATTTTTTATTTACAAGGTTTTACCCATGGTAGATAGACCGTACTGTATCGACGGTTCAACAACGAAATACCAATATTGAAGGCTAAATCGGTAGACAGTATTTAACGGTCTAACGATTGAACTACGATTAAACTACGGGATCGTTTGGATGGATCAATCTAGAAATGAGTCAATTTGATTAATTGTTTCGTCTTATAAACGAGTCAATTCGAATTACCAGCCCACACCCCAGGTAATTGAAATTGACTCAAAATGGATCAATTCAAAATACCTCAGACAGATTGATCCATCCAAATTTTTTGTTGGCAAACGAGGCAATTTGGTACAATTGTCTCAAAACGAGACAGTTATGTCAAATTGATCCGTTACAATTAGCTCATCCAAACGATTTTTAACATAAAATACTCTACCACTGACTTTCCCGATACGGTCTCCGGTACGGCGCTTAATAGGTTGGTTAAATAAGATTGGCATCAAAATATGTCGAGGAAAATTTTGCCTAATTAAAGTGATTAATATGGTTGATATGGGGGAACAGAAGTGTGAGAACTGATAACACTGCCCAGACAAAATGAAAACAATGACGAAAGAGTTGAATTTTTTCCCCTATAAAAACATAGTTGAAATTTTAGGGGAAGAAAGAAACAAAGAAAGGAGGGAATTAAGGAGGAAAAAACGCTTCATAGAATCATAGTTCATAACAGGACCAGAAGCAGTTGAGAGAGAAAAGCAAAGCATCCCATCATCTCCTAGTACTAATATAATCAGTGTTGAAGGAGTGTTCAATCATTTGCAAAAAAGCTACTAACTCTCTCTAGATTTCCCATTTTCCAAGATTTTCCAACTTGGGTTTCTCCATAGCTTCAAAACATATTCAAACACAGTGGCACACTGTGTGATCTTTTGTTCCAACCAGGGATTATGCGGATCATTCTTCCATAAAGTTTCCACCTTTGAGCTTCTTCTTTTTATTTGCTGGTTTTGGCTGGATTGCAACCTCTCATCCTCCTTTTTCTTTCATCCCCCCCTTTTGATCTGGCTGGGGCATTTATTCAATCTGTTTCTGGGTTCTGCTGTTTGCTAGAAGCTTTCACAGAATATTTACTATACCTAGCTTCTTCAGTATCTTAGCTTCTACTCCTTTTCCCCACATTCTGCTGGTGTACTGCTGAAGCAAAGCAGTAATCTTTCTAACATAAAAAGAAAACCCATTTCTCTCTTTTCCTTTCAAAAGAGACTCTTCTCCTCTCTTCGCTCCGGAAATGCGCATTTCCGGTGAAAAGGAACAGATCTTGTTGCATTTGGACAGTGCAAAAGGGCTCTTCAGATCAACATCTCCAATGAAGCAAGATCATGGCACTGAATTGCAGCTGGACTACTCACCAACAGAACTTTTATACACTGATGTCAACGTTGTTCCTGAGCACGAAAGCAACGAGCTTGAGAAGTCAATACTGAATCTCGAAGGTGGGTGAGAGAGAGAGGCTCTTTATTACAGAATTTGGTCAACTCACAAATTTGTTGCTCATTAATTTGTTTCAGTTTGAGATTGGTCAGCACTTGAAAGAGTCAAAAACTTTTTTCTGCAGGAGAAATTGCAGAGCTGAGACTGCAAGAAGTGTGTTTGGATAAGAAGAGAAGGGAGGCTTTGAATAGGATACTAGATATAAAAGGTAGTAATTTTGATTGGTAGTTTGCTTTGTTCTTCCAACGTTTAACATATAAGGCTTGTCTCCTTGATAACATTTCATTGATTGATTTCCGTTGTCTACAGGCAGCATTAGAGTTTTCTGTCGAGTTAGGCCATTCTTGTTAACTGAAAGGAGAGGAATTCATGAACCGGTTTCGGTTGACTCGGACAAGGTTGTGGTTAGATCTGTTGGAAGCAGGAAAGAGTTCAGATTTGATAGGGTTTTCCACCAATCTGCTGACCAAGGTTTTGTCCTCTGTACTAGACTCGATCTCATCCATGTTTCGTATGCATCTCTTCTGAAAGAAAAATGTTTTTACAGATGATGTGTTTCTGGAGGTTGAACCAGTGCTTAAATCAGCACTAGATGGGCATAATGGATGCATATTGGCATATGGTCAAACTGGGACTGGGAAAACATTCACAATGGTCAGAATCTCATTAGAAACAATGTGTTTTAGATTAAAGCCCTTTTTGAATTGGCTTCCTCTTCATTCATCATCAGTGTATGGATTAGAGTTCTGAATCATGATTTCAGGATGGCCTCAATGATCAACCCGGGATCATCCCTCGAGCTCTCGAACTGCTCTTTCGCCAAGCCTCTTCAGCTTCTCTAACATTCTCCATGAGCATGTTGGAGGTTTACATGGGCAGCCTGAAAGACTTACTTTCTCCTAAAGCATCAGCTAGATGGTTAGTGATCATAATAAGTCAATCTCCAAGAAACTTGTGATTTGACCCTGGAATGTTTTCCCCCCTTCTTTTTGGTTAATATCTTGTGAGTCTAACTTTCTCTACAGCAATCTCAACATTCAGACAGATCCAAAAGGAATGGTGGAGATTGAGGGTCTAACAGAAGTTCAACTTCCCAACATTGCTAAAGCCAAATGGTGGTACTCAAAGGGAAGGAGGTGTCGCTCGACTTCATGGACTAATGTGAACGAGACATCAAGCAGGTCGCACTGGTATGGTTTTAGAGGACTTCTTCTCGAGCTTGTTTCATTGTATTTCCTAATGTTTGATGATTACTTTATCTGTTTAGCTCCGTGTGTGCAATAGCTTGATGAGGATCACAATCTCTAGACACGGCGAAAGCAAGCAAGGAAGTAGGCCAGAAGCGAGCAAATTGTGGATGGTTGATCTTGGTGGAAGTGAGAGATTGTTGAAGACAGGAGCTACTGGATTGACCCTTGATGAAGGAAGAGCCATAAATCTCTCTCTTTCTGCACTTGGCGACGTTGTTGCTGCTCTTAGAAGGAAAAGAGGCCATGTTCCTTACAGGCATGTCCTTCAGTTCTTATTTCAGATGCATCTCTTCTCTTTTTTGACCAGCCACATGGCCTCAGAAAAGCTTTTCAGATTATCCACTCTTTGCCAACCTGATTCCAGACTATTGTTCAATTTTGTTCTTTGCAGAAATAGCAAGCTAACTCAGATACTGAAAGATTCCTTAGGTAAGCACACTGTTGCTGTGAATTTTTTTACCCTGAGATTCAAGTAACCGTAGAAAGTTTGGCATGCAAAGATTGTTCTTTTTCTGAGCTTCACAAAAACCATGTATTTCATATTCATGTATTCTTAGAAGTTACAATACACTAAAAATCTTAGGTCGCTCAACAAATTATAACATAACATCTCATCTCCTACCATTTTCCGTTGAAGGTAAATTATTATATATGATTTTTCACAATCTTTTCACCAAGAACTGTATTACTGACCACACATGCTCTCATAGTCAAGAATTATCAATATTCATGTTTTCTAATATCCTCTGGCTACCAAGTGACATCATGACAATCCTAGACTTGAATACCTCATAATGTACTTGATGGATTTACAATGATGCTTCTTGTAGGTCATAGTTCAAAAGTTTTGATGCTTGTGAATATAAGCCCATGTGAAGAAGATGTGGGAGAGACAATCTGCTCTTTGAGCTTTTCAAGTAGGGCAAGAGCAATTGAGACTGACAGAGAAATTTCAGAGGTAGTACAAAACTAACCTGGGATGTCAACAGTGATACAAATTACCAGAAAACTTATAAACTAATGGCATCCATATTTTCCCTTCCCTTCAAATCAGGATATAAGCAAGCAAAGAGAGAAGAGAATAACAGAGCTCGAACACGAGATGAGAGAAGCAGAAGAAGAATGCCAGAAGCTCAGGAACCAAATCAGAAAGGCAGAGTTCCTCATCCATGAATACAGAAAGCCTTCATATCCAGACAAGGAAGACATATCAACAGCTCATGAAGAAAACAGAAAGGAATCTGAAAACCCAATCCTGCAACCTACTGAAAGAGGAGTCAAGAGAAACATCATTAGCTCCCTTCCGAGATTCATGACCTCTACTGCTGCAAGTCGCCATAGGCAAAGTGCTGCAGAAAGAGAAGTGGTTGGCAAGGCAAGAAGTTTGAGATCAGAGGCCAGAAGCTCTGCTCAGTTGTCATGTTCTCAATCACTCAGTTACTCAGACATTCGTCTCAAATCAGTACTACGAGGTGATTCGAACAAGAAGTCAAGGTATGCTGACACGAAACAAAACCTTTCAGATAGCCCTAAAGCCAAATGCAGTAGCTCAGACTCAAAGGTTGCTTCCATGCCAAGGAACAAGTTGGTAACTTCATCAGATCCTAACTTTAGAACTACAATAGCTAATCACAGAAGAAGAATGTCTGATCTCAACTAGCCATAACAGATGCTGCACATGGTGTTTCCTGCCATCATGAAGCTGGTAACTGATTCTGGTGTTTGTGTGTGGCGTGTGTATTTGGTTTTGTGTGCTCTGATGACTGATCTAGAAAAGAGGGGGGGTTCTTTTCTAGATTTGATTTGTTTATCATTGGCATTGTTTAATAGGTTTGGCTTGGTTAAAAGTAAAGGCAAAATGGGGGGAGATCTGTTGATTATTTGCTAACATGACCTACCCCCTCTGCCAGCCAGCATATGCTTTTTGTTAGGATTGACAGGTATTGATGTTGTTAATCACTCAATAACATAAGAGATGATGTTCTTGCTTTTTACCCCTCTGACAGCATATGCAAAGTTCATTTTTTCTGACACTACCTACTCTTGAATCACATGTTCTTTTGGAGTGTTCTGGAAGTATGTTCGAACAACAAAAAGATAATAAAATAAAAAATCTAAAAAGGAGAGATGGAGGAATTGAATAGTGATAGCCGAACAGTGAGACTCCTCTAGAACGTGTCTGCTAAACCTGAGCTAATCTTATGAAATTTTGGATCAAATTATGAAAACATGATTCAGTGATCTGTTAAAATGACAAAATATGAAGTCTATAAAGTACCATCAAGCCTTCAGGATCATCCGCAAGCAAAATATGCAACAATTCCAGATGTTAGTATCACAGTCTGGCACTTGAGACAGTATAAGCGAAGTTAAAAGGTAGAGAAAAAATGCCTGCTGCTAGAGTTACAAAAATAGAGCAGCCATTACATCATTTTGACTGGAGACTTCCTCTCATTTTAGTTGCAGCCAGTTCCTGATTAAATACAAGCAGAAAGGTGTCTCACAGTCATATATCGCAACAGTAAGCAAGCTACCCATCCAAGCTCAGCAACATTGTTATCATGGCTATCATGCTATGGCTGTTCCTTCTCTACTTTATATATACAACAACATAACCCTGACTACAACATCAAACAATCAACATAATGCCGATGAAACATTTGAAAGAATACGGAGGAATGAAGATCGCCAAATAACCTTGATGGCACGGCTCTGTTACCTAAGCTCTGGACCGTCTGAACTCGAACCAAATCTCATAGTGATTGAACAGCAAACTATCATGGGTTTTCTTGCCGAGATACTCTAGCCCCAAATCACTCAACCTCTTAGTACACTGCTCACCTCCCAACCTTGAACAGAACTTGATATTATGTGACACATATATCCTCCCAACAAAGGGCTTCAACTTCCCTGCCAACCTCTCAAGCCCCGTCCATACTAAATTATCCGGCATGTGAAGAAACACGGCACTAGCATATATCAGATCGTAAGAAACAGCATCACCAAACCTAGTGAAATCCATGCTTTCTCCTCGAACAATCACGGGCCTCTTGTGTAGAAGTCCCTGAGACGGGAGCTCGTATCTCAAAGCAGCCATGAGAGAAAGCTCGTCTCTTTCTAGACAGTGAAATCGAGATGGAGCGAGGTAACGGATGAAATGAAGACCGACACGTAATGTGCCACAGCCGATCTCAAGAACCTGGGAGTTTGGCGAGAGATTCGTGGATTCAGCAAGGAATTCAAACACGTCCCTTCCACCAGCCCACGGTTCCCCGTAATTGCTGTGGTGCTCTTCTACCAGGAGTTCTCCGGGGCAAGGGAGTGCAGTGTGGTTATCCGAATCTGGACCATCATAGTGCGAGATGCCCTTGTATCTGAAATAAGACAGATTTGAATTTGGCAAGATCTGGTTACATGGTACAGTGGGAAGAGGGATTGATTGACAACGGGAGGAGCATGCTTAACTTGTAAAGCAAGCAAACTTGAGGAATAAAGAAATTGGAAAGCTTAGGCATCTAGTAATGAAATCTTGTGTTGTAGGCTTCACTCAGAAGAAACACGTACGAATGAAATCTAGACACCTTAATTCACTGTTCATTACCCTTTGCCAAGTAGAAAACAATTACAGCTGCCCTTTCATTTCACATCTTACCAGTGAAGGAACTTCAATGGCGGATTGTTAAATCTAGAATGCATTCCACAGCTACAGAACAAACCGAACTGACAGCTCACTAAAGAACACACTCAATCAAGCCTAATCATCCTACCCGGAATTTCACACCCCCAGCTCCCATCATCTTTCTACCAACAACAACCATAATAAGCAAAAGAAACAAGAAAAGAGTGAAGGAAGAGACTTTCCCTCATGGGCTATAGTTATATTCGCTTAAATATCAAAGGAATGAAATTCCCACAAAAAATCACGAAGAAAGAAGAAGGAAAGAAATAAACTTTCAACATGGGTAGTAATGTTTACTTATACTCGAACAAAAGAAAGACCCCCCCAAAATCACCTCAACAAAGGGAAAGAATCAGACGCAACAACAACAAGAACAACGGAAAATCTCCGGGAAACAGAAGTGAAAGAGATCAGTGGAGAGAGCTTTACTGAATGAGATCTTGGAGTTGCTGAGCCCTAGTCCGCGGATTGATCCCTTTGCGCAGAACATTGTCCTGCATATGCAACCCATTCCCTCGGATCTGATCCCTCACCCAGTCGATGTCCTCCGCCGTGGCCGATACCCTCTCCCCACCGTCGCCGGAGAAGGGGGACGGAGGCGTGAAAGAGCAGGAACAGGGGGCGGAGAGGGAAGAAGCGAGGAAAAACAGAGTGAGAGCGGCGACGGAAACGGCGAGGACGAGCACGGGAACTGTGACGACAACACCCTTCTGCGGTGGGGAAGAAGAGGAGAAGAACGCCATCATTGTCATCCTGAGAAGGGAGAGATATCTGGGTTTTTTTTTTTGCGAACACCTATCGATTCGTTGTTTTGCTCGCCCCTGCCCCCTCCCTCTGTATTTCTCTCTCTGTGTGTTCTGTTCAGTTGTCGTCTTTTGTTGGCTCCACTTTTCTATCCTTCGCTTCCCATTATTTCTTTGCCACCGACGAATTCTTCATCATTTTTTCTGAATCTGATAGGAAGGATTTAACACTTATCGTATTTCCGATCGTTTCTCTTTTTTTGAGTTTTTTTCTTTTTCGTTTAAAAGATATGGGTAGGTGAAAAAAAAGAAATTATTTCGCCCAAGAACAGGAAGTATTCATCTTTTTACGAAGTGTATATAATACCTTTCATCTTCCAAAATATATTCAATGCCGTCCCGTAAATAATTGTTTTTTGGTACCATTTAAAGTTGTATTTTTGACACGTTATGTACATCTTCAGATTATACTTATACTCTTGTATATAAATTTTTTTGTGGTACAACATAAACTTGTACCTTTATGCCATTGCTTGAAATCTCTCTTCTGATTTAAAATCGTGGTGTAACGTGTATCCCCCCACGTTCCGATCATGGAATAGATGAATGAAATAAAAAAATGGGGTTTTGTTCAAGAAAGAAATCTTATTGGAACTGTCCATATCCGGTTCATCCTTCAGAACCATATCACATCCTGGATCTGATGAAATAGAATGAATTGAGACAGTATTTTGTAAATGCATAATCATCTTGAATATATTAACTATTTCTTGATGATGCAACTTAAAGTTGTACTATAACATTAACGTACAAATTTCGTGATGGTACAACAGAAATTTATACATTTAACGACAACTTCAAGTTATACATTAAAACACCAAAGATTTATAGCATAGCAGAAGTGCGGAAGTTTTATAAGAGACAATAGACAAAACTGTTTGTAACTAAATGTATCGAATTGGTTATGATCTGAGGTTTTATCATTTATTGTATTTAGTTATACTTGAAAGCTTTCCACACTAACTAAATGTATCGAATTGGTTCACGCCCTTCTTGGGGTTGGCAGAGCATTGTGGACGCTTCTTCTGGCTAAAGGTGTGCAGTTTGCGCAAATTGATGAACCACTGGTAGTGGAGTTGCTGGTGCTTCGGGAGGCTATCCTCTGGTGTCTAGAGTACGGCTTGTCTGGAGTTAGGTTCGAGGGGGATGCGAAGGTCATTATTGACAAGATTAATCAAGCTGATACGAGCGACAGTCACTTGGGGGCAATCCTGGAAGAGATTTGCCAGTATTTTCGTGCCCATCCGGGGTTTAGTGTGCGGTTTGTAGGTCGAGAGAACAATAGGTTAGCTCATTCGGTAGCTAGAAAGGCCCTCTCTTTGTACCCGTCTGTAAATCGTTCCTTTGATTTCAGGGTCTGACTGCTATCCAGGGCGTAACTATCTCTTTGTTTCGATTAATATATCATATCTTTTGAAAAAAAAAAAAGCTTTCCACACTAACCCATCTTCCTGGTCTAAATTAGTAATCAAAATTATATTCTCTGCTTAATCCTCGTAGTCGTCGAATATTTTATTGGTGCCAGTAGTTGTTTGATTTGTTCATGGGGAATAATAGAAACGGCAAAATTAGTGTTCAGAGAGAGAAATGACCGCTGTTGGCATCTGATCACTTAGCAAATCTGTGCCGCGGATTTTGGGTCGCTAACTTATCTATTCATTCATTTCCCCCATTACTAATTACTTTTATTAATTTATGATTAAATCTTTTGATCATTAGTGATTCCATTTAATTTAAGTACAGACGCCGCGCACTGTTTATGTATGCATGTTATGTATTTGTTGAGTTGGGTCTCTCTCTAAAATGAAAAATTCAACCCACCCCATGTGATTACGTAATATGTCACTTGTATAAGTTTAACTACTCGTTTCTTAAATTGTAAGTTATCGTAATAACTAAATCAAATAAGTCTAAATTCTATTAATTATAGAATATAATATCATAATCAACCCAATCAAAATAATACAACAACTAAATTTTATTAATTAAATATGGCGTTATCAATGACGAAAACACTATAGTTAGTCATATGTCCATAAATTGAGCACATTATTGACCGGATGAGTTGTGTCATCAACTGTTCATACAATTTTAGCATAATGAGTTGTGTAATCAATTGTTCTTTCAACTTTATCGAAATGAATTGTGATATCCATTGTTCATTTAACTTAATGTGAGCCATCAACTCTTCATCCAACACACATATATTTAATCATATTGTTGCTGAAAGAATATTTTTGTGTCTCTATAAATGAACATAAACTTGGTATGTTTACTCTGTCATCATTCAATCTTCTTCAGCCTCAGAACCACATACTTTGCCCTACACACCAACGACCAAAGAGTCTAACCAACCCTACCTGGATCATGTTTATTGGTGAGTTGTAGATCTTGGTCCACTTGTGAAAGTCTCAAGAGAATTTGAGTTTCAGTTATACAGACACTATGAGTGTTGCCATGTGCTAGATGAATAGTGGGAACATTTTGATGTTAAGTTCTCATTAAAATTCAATTAGTTACAAGATAACGAAACCACACATTTATTTTATGTAGTAGATTCCAGAAAATGGCACTAGACAATACCTCATCACCAAGATCTATTCTTATGAAGGATATGATGTTGGTAAACATTAGTAAATCAATTATGTTTGGATTGAAACATACCTCCAACCTTGGATGATTTCCTAAACATCCATGGCAAAGTATGGTGTTTGTAGGCGTTGACAAGCATGCATAATGTCTAGTATGTGAAGACAACTAACATGGCACATAGGCATGAAGTTTATGTGCGGTTTAACCAAAGTGTGGAACAATTAGAAGGTGAGACATAAGATATGGATACGTTCATATAGGTAAAGTTATATATGATCTCTCAGTACTCTGGGTAGGTAAGGATTCCTAACCTTGATCTTATTAGAAGTTACATATATCTTAGTGCCCTACTTTGATATTATTATTGGTGGCTTTTATGAGTGCGTCAAGGGGTAGTAAGTGGATATGGATCTGAGTCTATATGAGATCTAACAAAGAAAGATAAATGACTGTATCCCATTATTAAAGGAGTAAGATTTCACCCATCCCTTCAATGGATAGTGCCCATGAAGTGGTTGGTCATCCCAAGTCAAATGATGAAATTCATTTGAACTTGAACTAAATAAAAATATATGAGATAGGTGCAAAGAAGGATCTATACCAAGCATGACAAATCCATGGCTTGGATCTCATCACTATAATCTATGACAAGATGTTCATACTTTATAATACCTTCACAAAAGAGGACGACTGAGTTCCTTCTTCCCTTGTTGTCTTGGGTTACATTGATGTGCTACTAAGAGACACTCAATTTCTATGACCTTAGGTTAATTGTCGATGAAATGTGTGGTAGGTTTATAGTTTCAGAATAAAAGAGGGTTTCTAGTGAGAGATTAACGTTTCCTCTTCCTATTATAGAGAGAGAAAGTGTCATTCAAAAGAGGAAGAAGGAGATTGGGCTTGCCCTAAGTTAGAGGATTGAAGGTTTCTTCTTCTCAAGGGATATTCAAGCATCAAGGAAGGAATACACTCATCTCTTCATGATTCTTTCTCTCCTTTTTGTTGTTTTCCTTTGCCTAGCTATGGAATAGCCTACCTACTCACTTGAGTATTGTGAATCCTAGTCTATATGTTATAAACGCGCTGCTACGGATCGGAAAATCGCTGGAATCGACAAAGCAAGAATACGAAAGCGAGAATCAAAAACATGACACACGATTTACGTGGTTCACTAACACGATGTGTGTTAGCTACGTCCACGGGCGAGAGAGAGCCAGTTTCACTATATCGAGGAGATTACAGATTACAGAGGAGTATGAGAAGTATTTATAGTACTTCTCCATGTGGGTCTAAACCTAATCCAATCTGACAAAGGAAACAGTTACAGACCAGGCCCAGAACCCGAACCCAAATAACATTGAGCCCATGAGACCCCCGATTACCAGTCGTAGCGGCTGATAGTCCGATTCAAGTCACATCAACACTATATGTGTGTTAGAATGTAAGAACATGACTCCATGTGTGTTGATTGAATGTTTATATAATATTTGAGGTGTTTTTCATGAATGATTGAATTTGCTAGCTTTAACTCATGATTGAGTCATTTTGGCCTAGGTGGAGAGAATCTCCTTGTTGAAAAAGGATTTGAGAAGTTGGATTCTTGGCCAATTTGTGTCACCCACCTAGGCAAATGAGGACAAACCTTAAATTAATCATGATTATTGAGTGTTGCTTGCATTATATCATTGTTGTCAAAATTAACTTAGAGGGTGGAAATCCCCATTTGGCCCATAGGGAGCTTGACCTCCTAGCCTCTTGGGTAACCCTTTCCAGGTTAATCTAGGTCCAAAACCTCAAGTATCGAAGTAGTACCATGATCCCACCATGATTGGTTTCTCTCCGTCGTCCGGATTAAGTTCCAAGGTTAAGAGAGTTAGATCGTCTAGCCTAGAGTTAGATCGTTAAGAGAGTTAGATCGTTCCGAGGTTAAGAGAGTTAGATCGTCTGGCCTAGAGTTGCAATCCTTAACCGAAAGGTTAAGAGAGTTAGACCAGTAACTTGATGCAAAACTCCTAGATTGGTCAACTAAGAGAGTTAGGCTTTCCTCGGTTGATCGATTAAGATAGCTAGATTCCCTAGCTTCTTTTCACAAACCTTAAATGATCAACTAGGAGAGTTTGCCCCTAGCTAATTGCACCCACCTCACAGTATATGAACACATCCTTCACACTAGAGTTTCATTCATGCTTTCTTAATACGAGACCAGGGGAAGCAATACCCAAGTGAAGTCCTCTCATATAGAATTCTCCTTGCTTTGCTTTACTTGTTTGTTTATTTTGTAGTTTTCTTAGTTTTAAACCCAAATCTGTTTGCTAGATAACAACCTAAGCGATTGAAGTAGGGGTACATGGACCGACACGTGTTTGACAATTAAAACATACTTGTCCTATATTGCACCCGGCTAGAGTTTATGCTTGGGCTCTAGTCGGGATTTAAATCGCAGTGTAGTCCGTGCGAATCACGGTTCAGTGGTCATGCAACATGGTTACATCCTGGTCAAGGGCCATGACGTGGCAATGACCAGTGCTCTTTTCTCCCCTACTTGCTCTTATGCTTCCCAATCGTGCTCGGATGAACTCTAATTGATTCCTGATCAATCGTAGATGGCTTTAAGTCATGGAATTACATAAAAAACACCAAAAAAGCATAAAATATGACATAGTGTGGTGGGTCGATTTCCCCATAAAAACCTTCTTATCAAGCTGAACCATGCCAAAATGGATGTTATGCAAATAGGTTCGAAAATTGGCCTAAACTAGCATGATAAGTGGCCTAGACACGGTGATTTAGCACGCAAATGCCTATAGAATGAGGGCCAAATAATGTCTGTTTTCGATGTTATCAACGAATTTCAACCCAAACTTTTGAGTGAGCTCGTGCATTCTGGCGTGAAATGGTGGATGAAGAAGCGCATTTTCAACCAGAAGAAACTCTATTGTCTTCTGAAACCCTGATGTGATCTTCCTTCTCTCACCAACATGAGAAAATACAGATATGAAAATTATATGAGGTACAAAAGTTAGAAAACACCTTGTTCTAAATTTGTTCATATGGATTGTGTCCAAATAATTTATTGTGAGTTTTTTAAAAATAAATAACTCTCTCAAATACTCCATCCAGACGACTTAGTAGAATTCAATAATTACTTCAGTTTGAGTAATTTGAATATCATTGTTAGCACTTAGGAGATTGTGAGAGGGTTGCTAGAGAGGTTTATAAGCATAATTAGAGGAAAATTGGGGGATAGTCCGAGGCTAGAAGTAGGGCTGTTAATCGGTGCGATTTCGGTTTAACCGAATCGCACCGTCGGTTAGCCCCAACCGAAGCCGACACCGAAGGGAGGATCGGTTAACCGCCAACCGCAACCGTCGATTTAGGTTTGAAGTGACGGTTGCTCTGAGACCGACACACAACATCTCCGACCACCACCGTCGATGTGTATGTCACCGAAAATCAGATCTGAGTCCGCCGCGAATTCGGAGCTGATTCCACCGCGAATCGAGGTAGATGGGGGAGGAAGGGGAGAGAGTGTGAGAGGAGGATCTGGATCTGAATCCATCGCCGGAGGCACAAGGAGGAAGATCGGAGATCGAGGACGACGACAAACGACGACGAAGGAAAGAGGTTGAGGACGATGGAGCGACGATTGACGAAGAGGGAGTAGGTTGATTGGGCAATTGGGGAAAGCTGCATGCTGCCCAACGCCCGTTCTCCCCTCTAGCTTTATCTTTGCTGCCCAATCATAGGAAAATATGGTGATGGGATCGATCTGGTAATGGGAGGAAGGATTGATTTGAAGAAAAAGAAAGAGAGCGGATCTCTAGATGCTATTTGAGAGGGAGAGAGGAAGGGGGAACAATTGATTTGCAGGGAGAGAGAGTGGAATGGTGGAGGGGAAGGAAAGCAGTGGACGCATGGGAGAGAGATGAGTACTAGGGATTTGCTGGAGTGGAAAGGAGACTCATATTTTGACAGCGACACGGTTAGGCGGTGCACCGCCAGCGGTTTCGGTTATAGTCGATAACCGCTCGGTTTCCGAATATGGGGATTTTATTCAACCGAAACTGCCAACCGAACACAAATGACGTTTATTGGTTAGTCGACTAACCGCTTTTTTCGGTTCGGTTAGACGGTTAGCCGAAAATCACCAACCGTTTTATCACCCCTAGCTAGAAGGGTAGGGTGTAGGGAGTCCTTTGGATCCAAAATTTTAAAATGAAGGATTTGAAGGTCAAATCTTTCAATTAAAAATTCATAAATTTTATTTGTAAGATGTAGTTCAAATAACAAAGAATTTGAGTATGATCTAACCGAGCAAAATCGTCATTCAAAAGACTCCTAAGTTTTATTTTTATTTTTATATATATTTAAGGATTCGTTTGCTTGTTGGATTTGAAAATAATGATTATTAGTTATGAAAACCTTTGAATTTTCCTTTACTTGGTTTCCTAAACCTATTAGTTGGGTCATATACGTCGATCCAACTCCAAACTGTTGTGTCATTAACTCGCTAAAAACATTTATTACCCGATTTCCACCGTCCCTGGAAATTCGACGCCATTCTCTTATCCAATAATGGCCGCCCAAATCCAAGCATCATCGTCTCCATCACCTCACCCACCGAAATCGATCAAATCCATATCCAGATCCCCCGCCCTCACCTCCATCCCTCCCGCCTACATCTTCCCTTCTTCCCCGCCGCATCCCGCCGCCGATCAGAGCGCTCCCGTCGGCCAAATCCCCACCATCGACTTCTCGCCGCTCCTCTCTTCCTCCCCCGACCGCCGCTCCGGAACCGTCGCCGACCTCCGCGCCGCCTGCCGCGACTGGGGGTTCTTCGTGGTGACCAACCACGGCGTCCCTGACGGCCTGATCGCGGCGATGATCGAAGCCGGCAGGAAATTCTTCGAGATGGCGGAGGAGGAAAAGGAAGAGTACAGGGGAGGGGAGAAGGGGGTTTTGGAACCGATTCGGTGTGGGACCAGCTTCAATTCCTCCGTGGAGAAGGTTTTCTGTTGGAAGGATTTCTTGAAGGCGTTTGTTCATCCCGTTTTCCACTCGCCTTCCAAGCCGCCTGGATTCAGGTGAAAATTCCGATACTAGCTACTAGGGATGGCAATTTACCCACCCATGGGTAATTTTGTCCAAACCCAAGTAGACCCATTTATTATGGGTAGGTTTTGGGTGATGTGTGTATGGGTTTGGGTTAGATATGGATATATCTAAATGGGTATGGGTTGGATATGGATATCCATTTACTTGAGGGTGTTTTAACTATACATGCAAAAATTGGACCTATTTGTAAAACTTGAAAAGTTTAGGTACCAAAATGTAAGACCAAAAAAATTTAGGTACCAAAACGTAATTTTCCATCGATATTTTGAGGACTTATATGCAAAAAAAATTAAATTTAGGTACTAAATATGTATATCTATTAAGTTTAGGTACCAAACTGTAATTTGTATTTGGGCATGGGTACAAACCCAAATCCATTTGTTATAAACCCAACCCAACCCAAAGTAAATGGGTATGGGTACAAACCCATCAAATACCCATATCCATATATTTGGATTTCATACCCAACCCAATTGGGTTGGATAGTAAAATACCCATGGGTATGGGCAAAATTGCCATCCCTACTAGCTAGTGTTATTTATTTATTTATTTTTACTTGTTGCGGCGAAAAACAAGGAGGGTTGAATTTTACGGGATTCCCCCCCCCAAATACAGTAATAATTAAAAATAATTACTAAAATACAACACTTAAAAAAATATTTCCCAAAATATCTAAGTTTGGAGTGGTTCGAGTTCAATGCACTCGGACCACTGATGGGATCGAGTTAGAGGGCTTCGATCGACTTTTTGAGGTAGTGGATCGAGTACATTGAACTCGAACCACTGCGTTAAAATTTCAAGTAGCCTTAACTTTGTGTTAGGTTATCCGATTGTAGCGAAATTTTTTTTCATTCCACATATCTTTTTGAGTACTAGAACTTTTTTCATAGAAATATTTTCAGAATGTATGTGGAAATGTGAAAAGTAAAGCTAACCTTGTTCTCAAAACCCCTTATATTCAAAAAAGATTTCCTATTTTAAAAATTTCTTCCTAGTAAAAGTTGTAGTATTCAAAAACTTTATGCAAAATAAAAAAAAATTCACCACAATCGGATTATGGAGCACAAAGGACTCGATCCACTACCTCAGAAAGTCGATCGAGGCTCGCTAACCCAATCCCACTAGTGGTTTCGAGTCCATTGAATTCGAACCACTCCAAACTTGGGTATTTTGAGAATTGTTTTTTTATAAGTGTTGTATTTTAGGAATTTTTTTTTAATTGCTACCGTATTTGGGGGAAAAGTGAAAACACCCAATTTTACGTATTGAATCTTTGATATCCGGACTTTATAATAATACTACGATTGCTCGAAACTCTCGAGTAGTAGTGAAAACCGAATTGTATCGACAAACCTAATATAATCACACACCAAATTTCAAACGATCGAGCAGCCAAGTGTTGGAGGAGTACTCCAAGAGAACAAGGGAAGTGGCCAGAGAACTGCTGAGAGGGATATCAGAGAGCATTGGCCTGGAGCCCGATCACATCGCCAAGAAGCTTGATCTGGAGCAAGGAATGTTCCAGCTTCTCGCCGCGAATTTCTACCCGCCCTGCCCACAGCCGGAGCTGGCAATGGGGATGGCACCTCATTCCGACCACTGCCTCCTCACCCTCTTGACCCAGAACGGGATCGACGGCCTTCAAGTTCAGCACCATGGCAACTGGGTCGACGTCACGAATCTCAGCCCCAACTCTTTCCTTGTCAACGTTGGAGACCAGCTCGAGGTAGGATTAATCAATCAATGGAGATTCATTCATTCATTCATTAGGATTTGACATATTGCATTTGTGGAGCCTGAATATGTATGATTTTGATTTTGTGCTTTAGATATTGAGCAATGGGAAGTACAAGAGCGTGCTTCACAGAGCGATGGTGAACAGAGAGGCGACGAGGATCTCGATCGCAATGGCTCATGGACCGTCTCTGGATTCAGAAGTTGCGCCGTCGCCGGAGTTGCTAGGCGAGGAGGAGGGAACTACGCAGCTGCCGGCGTATAAGGGGATGAAATACAGAGACTACTTGCTGCTTCAGCAGAGCAAACAACTTGATGGCAAGTCTGGCTTGGATGTGGTTAGAGCTTGATGATCAGCTACAATTTAATTACTTATATCTTTGTAATTAAGGTTGGTGTGTTTTGTAAATAGGGTTTTTACGAGGAATGTACCTTAGTATAAAATGTATATCACTCAATAATGTAACAAAATATTGACCCTTTCCATATAATTCTCAAAAATCGGTGGATAATTTCAATGAAAACTCCCAAACTTATATAGCATTAAAATGATAAAATAAGCAGGTTTTTTTCCTAAAATATTGTATTTTAAGAAAATATTATCCAAAATACGGTGTGAAAATATTTCCAAAAAAATTTTAGTAGGAGAGAATTTTCAAAAAATGAATTATTTTTGAATATACGGGGTTTTGGGAATAACTTTACTTTCCCTTTTCAAAATTTTTTTCGCTACGGTCGGATAACCAAGCACAAAGTTACGTTCGTTTAAAGTTTCGACGTAGGTCAGACCTTCACCGCGGCCGTGTAACGCGGTGAAGCGTTCACCGCCTTTCTCTATAACGGTGATGCAATCACCGCCTTCCTCTTGCATCACCGCTCTTCTCTCCTGCGGTGATGTAATCACCGCCTTTTTCTGCCGCGGTGAAGACCCAAACATGCGTAGATTGAGATTTTTTTTTAAAACGTGTGTATTTTGAGAATTTTTCCAACTTATATAGTATTAACAATAAATTATTATGCTAACAAAAGCATCCTTTATTTCCTAAAAAAAAGAGCATCTACACAATAAATAAAAGCCAAATGAGAAAACTTGAAGCCCCATTTCAAATTTCATGCATCCAGAGTGAAAGTAGGAAGGACATTTTGGTCTTCACAATTTCTTTTTTTATTCATTATAAAAACACTTACTAGGATTCGAACCATGACCACTTTAAAGAAAAGCAAAGATCATAATCAATCACACTAAGTACATTTGTTGTATCTTTTTAAATTAAAAATATATAATCGCAGAGAGAAAAAAAGCCTTCCCCCATTTCAAATTCCCTGCTCCAGGAGCGTTTGTAGGAAGGGTAGAATAGGTAGTGTCAATTTTTTTTCTTTTTCCTCTGTGGAACGGGCCAACTTACCGTACACATGTAGATTTAAACGGGTCCAGGAGTGTCAATTTTTTCCTTTAAGTCCTGCCCCAAAATCTCCGATTTTCACCGCCCATTACCCCGACACTCTAATGCTAACAAGTACTAAGCAGTTTACAAAGATCAAGTTTCGTCGCCGCCAACGGCAGAAGTCCACTAACGGGGATGAAACTCCATCGCCACCGCAGCAGTTTCCCCTAAAATGATACCTTGTCGGAGAGCGTAGAGGCGAGGTTTTGGCGGCGGTCAGAAAGGCGAGCGGACAGGATGTTGGCGGAGGGTGGTTGGAATTAAGCGTCGGGTTAATTTTTCCAATTGTGTTTTAATAAGAGTAATTAGGTCATTCTAGTTAGGGCGATTGTCAAACTTAGGGCGACAATTAGCAACCCTCTTATTCTTTTGTAATAGCCCCGTGGCAACCTATATCTATACTCTTTATTATTATTATTATTATTATTATTATTATTATTATAATATTTTAAAAATGACAGTTAAGATTAAATTAAGAATAATTTTGCAATAAAAAATTAACATACGTAATTACTACATATATTTATGACCTAACTATCCTTCCTTTCTCCTAACCCTACGAGCTACGAGCCTACGACCACTCTATTCTCTCATTTTCTTTCGACCGCCGCACAAGCTTCTGTTTCCTCCCTCTCCTTCCCTGTCATTTCCTCACAAATCCAAAAGCAAATTTCCACTCTGTTTCTTTCTTGGGTAAATACAATATATTAGCCACAACTATTATGAAGCGCGGAATTATAGCCACAACTATGGAAATTCAAATTATCAGCAAAATGTTAACTATCTGTTAACAATTTCGTTAGTAATACTGACTAAACTTTTATTTTTTAAAGTTATAAATTAAAAGCAGTCTGACGTGGCTGCTACCGTGGTCGATGACGTGGCCTTCTCCATTAAAAATTCAATAACAGTAACGGACAATTAGCCATATCTTAACTCGCAACAATAATTATGGCTAATAATTTGAATTTTCATAGTTGTGGCTATAATTCCCCGCTTCATAATAGTTGTGGCTAATATATTGTAATTACCCTTCTTTCTTTATTGAATTATAGGGAATACCTTTGCCACTAGGGCTGGAAAACAGTTCAGTTGGTTTAAACCGGACCGGATTGACACAATTTTTGAAATAGTATTAACCAACCCAACAACTGAAAACCGGATTGGATAGTTACCCGATTTTGACCAAACCGCATTGGATACGGTTTTAACCAAAAAACTAGATAGATTCAATTTAACAACATAAGGTGATGTTTAAATTGACTAGAGGTGGGGGCTTGACGGTCTTGGGTTGGGGTTAGTGGCCTTTGGACTGTGGTGGGGTGCTAGTGGGCTTGCTTTTGGGTTATCCAGTTTTTTGGATTTTAACCGGATTGGACCGGGTTGGTGTGCACTATAACTGTAAACTAGATTAGATTGATGGCAATCCGATTTTCGGTTGTAATCGGGAAAATTTTAACCGTCTGGATTTCGGTTTGACCAAAAAATTGGAACCGAATTCCCATTCCTATTTGCCACTTTCAAAAGCAAGCTTCCGCTCCATCTCTTTCTTCTACCCTATTTCTTTGCTTTTCTTCCCTTTTTTTTCTCCAGAAATGTCCACAAAACAATAACATTGATTTGGATCAATTGTAGTCCTTCCACTCTCTTAATCCAGTATGGCGTGGAAACATTTCCTATATCGCCTAGTGCGTCGATTTCTTATGCTCGAGTCAACCGATGGCGGCAAGGCCGGCTCGGCGGCATCCTTCTCAACAAGGTATTGGTTGATATTTTTCTGGTATTGACTTGATTTTTGAAATGGTATAGAATGTTTATATTGGTAGTTTTTTTCGTGTAATAATACTATTTTTCCGTAGTGGTATTGGTTCGTTTTGTATGGTGGTAGTGGTATTGGTTGATTTTTAATATGGTATTGGATTGATTCTTGTACTGGTATAGATTTTTTAATAACGGTAGTTTTTTCTTTGGTACTGATATATATATATATATTTAGATTTCACAGTGGTAGTGACATTGATTGATTTTGGTATTGGTTTTACCAATTTAGATTGGTACTTTTAGTGTAATGGTATTGATTTATTTCTGCAATGGTATTGGTGTTGTTTGAAGTGGTAGTGGTTGTCTAACGGATTGGTGTTGATTTCTTGTTTTGTATTTGCAGTGGTATTATTTCGACGGAACGAAGACAAGGAAAAAATTAAGAATAAAAAGGAAGAGTGATCTGTTAGGAGATTGCGAAAGTGAGAGAAAATTGTAATTAATATATTTTATAACTTCCTAAAATATAATTTAGTATAAAAGGTAATTAATAATTTTCTTTATAAATGCAAATGTTCAGGACGAGTTTCAAGCAGTGTTGTCAAAACCGAAACGGACATCGATCCTAATTAATGAGAGGTTTAAGGTTTATCAGATAACCGTTGATTAACCGACATTAAAAACCGTTCATAAACCGGTACTCGACTCTAAAAAAGAAGAGAAACGTATAGAATAAGAATAAAAAAAATGCTAATAATAGTGGAAGGGCCGGTGTAGGTAGGGGTGTTCAAATGGTTACCATGGTTATAACCAAACCAAATAAGGCTAAATTCCATTAACCATGGAATACAATATCATAACTAAACCGTCCAAACTAATACAACAACCAAATTAATCAAACTAAAGTTTAATCGGTTTGGTTAACCAGATTAACCAGATTAACCAATATAAAATCACATTATCATTGACGATGAAAATTTTCCGGTTAATGCAACAATTCGCAATTTATATAATGAATAAAACATAACAATCAACACGTAGTTATAGTTGACCCTTAACAAAAATACATGCAACTAAGACAATTATCTTACGATTAGTATAGAAGTATTCACCTAACAAAAATTTATGACAATGGTATGGGTTAATGAATTGTTGTGTTTGTGTAAATTGACTTAGTCTCTTAGCAATTATCATAGGCTGGAAATGACCTTCCTTTCAAGTTTTCATCCATCATAATGTATGAAATTTATCTAAATTAGGCGTCCATATGTTGTGGTCTACATTTTACATATACAAATATACACTATATGAGCAATATTGAGCTTTATATTTTATGAGTCTAAAAGGGATGAACGTTAACTCTTGAGTGATTATGCAAAGTATTAAGTATGTGTATATAATATATGTTAGATATATGACTAATTACTTAACTGGTTAATTTGGTTTGATTGGTTAGGAGTGTCTGAAACCAAACCAAACAAGCTAAAAACTTTAACCAAACCAAACCAATTATCCAAATTAACCAAACCAAATTATCCAAATAGTACCGGTTAAAATGGTTACCATGGTAACCAAACCGTTTGAACACCCCTAGGTGTAGGGTCACTTTTATTTTCACTTACCTTGTTTGCTTTTCATTATTAATCAATTAAAAATTTGCAAAAAGTAGGCGCCAGCTATATTTCCCCAACTGCCCGTTCTTTTGCTTCCAGAGCCGGACTGTGTCCGGGTCTGGTTTTTACCGGTCTAGCGCGGTTTTAATAACACAGGTTTCAAGTCATTCGGAGGTCAAAACGAGCCAAAAAGTGGAGGTAGAGCACTCTTCACGGACTGGAGGCAAATGTCATGCACTAAGACCGTGAAAATCACTCCCCAGGTAGTGAAGTGCATGACTTTATGGTCTGGACTTATTTATCATGGTCCTAATGCCGTGATAATCATCCACAGACCGTGAAGTGCCAATTTCCAGAGTGGTTTGCCGTCTCACTAAAGGTCAACCAGTTCACGATCGCTAAGACCGTGAACTCAAGCCACAAACCGTGAAGTGGCACAAAATGCTACGTTTTTGTCTGAGATCAAGGTCAAGCCTCCGAGTTTACGGCCGTGAAAAGTAACCGTGATGTCGACACTTTTGGGTTGTATAAAAGGCAGCAACGGGGAGAGAGAAAGAGAACTGGTTTTTGGAGAAGAATACGACACTTTCAATCCAAAACACCAAAGGGGAGTTCTAGTGACAGAGAGAGTTTTTGAGTGATCTTGGAGTTTAATTAAAGGCATTGACCAAGTTTGAAAGCAAGGAATCAAACCTAGAAGAAGAA